TATATATATATTTGGGTGGATCATTTAAAACTATTTCTAAATCATTTCATCATTTAGATTATGTCACAGGTTTGTCCTGTTTACTGTAGGATGTATGAGCTCAATATTTGGGCTCCTTTTGCAAGAATTACTGCATCAGTGCAACATTGCATTGAGGCAAACTTGTGGATAAAAATTTGCTTGACAATCATCTCAAGGTGCCTTTTTCTAACTTTTTTTATTCCCCCTCAACTTTTTATTGTGGAATGCACTGATCGATTAACCTCTATTTATTATAATTAGCATTTTTAGCATTAGCATAATTATGGGAGATGGGTAGGTAGGTAGGTAGGATGTGGAAAAAATCTTTTCTACAAATACCCTCCTCCTGTCAATGTTCTAAACTTTCAATAAATGTCTGAGAGCATAGATATACCATTTTTATTTATAAAGCGCCTCATAAATGGTCAGCTTAGTGCTGTTCATTTACAACTAATAACAGTCAGATTAAACGAGTTAAACACTGGTATAAACTAAACGATAAAACTGAAGATATTTATATTTTAATGAGAATTTATTTCAAAATAAATACCAGGATAAATCAAAATTTTGATAGATTTCAGAGTTATTCAGGAAGAGACTGAAACCTGAAAAGTAGTGGATTTTAAGACGACTGAAATCCACGTTTATTACAAAAACCGTTATTGGTCAAAATGAGAATCAGCAGGTCAGGCCTTTTCCAACATCGGGCAGATGAATGCAATCGGTGCCATCCTATCTGTTATGAATATCTTTGAATCTAAAGTGTTAAAACTCCTCCTCATTATCCAAATCAAGGCTTTCTTGTAGTTTTGCAGGTTTTTAATATAAAGATGAATATTTCTGGATATTTTTCATCTCAGTATCATGTGTATAGATGTATACAAAGAACTGCTTGGCTAGCAGGCATTATTTATTTAATCATTCAGGTACTGAATTATAATTTATTTAGAAGATGATCCAATATACAAAAATTGTTGTTGATGATTGAAGCCAAAGTTTTATTTAGACTCAAAGCTGCGAGGCTTGGGGATTTTAAGGTGGGAGGTCAGGATCCCAGCAGGGGTCAGTAAACATAAAGTTGGGGGGTCATCAGATGACTTTTCAGCTTGATCGAGATGTGACCCTTAAGGGCCAAAATTAGATAAACACCATTATTGTGTACAATATTCTTTAGAAATATTAAATACACAATATGTCAATTAGAAAATTAATAAATGTTAAAATTCATTTTAGTTTATTGATGTTTATTTGAACAAAGGATACAATTATTACATGTCTTTTTTAGGAGGGGGACTCTGTATTAGATGATCATTTAAACTCTGATCTTAGTATAACTCCTCTCTTAGACATCTTTGGCTTTCCATTGTTACTATAACAATACATTTCCATCTTTTTTTTCAGGGTTTTATTTGCTACCATTTGAAATTTTTCTTTTTTTCATCCATCAGCCATCTTCTGTTACTCCTAGTCACTTAGGGACATTTTGAATGAATCCTAAACAGATGTCTCATTAATGGGCTCTCCTTCTCTTCTGGGTTACATAAGGGTTCAGCTGTGGTCTTCTGTCCCTATTCTTACTCTCACTTGTTGCTTCTCCTCAGAAGATGCCATCTTGGCAGCTTTCAGTGCTTTTGATTCCTCTGCTGCCCCCTTGTGGGCATATTTTACTCCTCCTAGCATGAACATGCGATGATAACAACAGGGACATTCTGCCCAGGCGTCCTATTTCCTCCTTCCACATTGGGCCGAGCAAGTTTATGATTGTCCCATTTAACTATGATGTCATGTCTGAAACCTGCAGTTGATTTCATTGGACAAAGCGCCACTGTGTTTTCCACACGGCGTATCTGTGGACGTCCACACAGCTTGGTGTCCGCTCTCAGATTAGTGGGAGTTAAAGAGCCTCTGTCCATCAGAGGGGCTGCATGCGCTGATCTAATCAACTCAACCCGCATTAAGCTGCTTTAACAAGAAGAGCTGAGGCGAAGAAATGGGGCGGGGGGGGGCTGTGGCACAGGCAAGCAGTGAAAAACAGGATGAGTCAATTAGAGAAGTTGATTTCCAGCAAACACAGGGAGGAAGAACCTGCTTTCATGGAAACTCTGCCCAGATTGGCAGAAGTCAATAGCCGCAGTGCTATTTGTCTCCTGGTCGGAGGAGACCGGCGGTGGGGGGTGGGTTAGGAAGGTCTGATCACGTAGCACTGAACAGATGTGGTTACTTTCTTCCTTTTTTAATCATGTTGTAAAAGTCCAGACCCCCCCACCCACCTCAGGAGCGAGGTTCCTGGCTCGCCGTGCTCCCTGCCCCGTACACCACGTTTGGACATTTTCCTGTTGTTGCAGTGATTGCCTGTCGGTTTCCTACTCTGCCTCCAGACTTCAGTTTTCTGTGTGTGTTTCCTGTTATTTAGGATCAGGTACTTTCTTTCTAAATGTACCTGGATGTCTCCTCCGAGTGGGAGCGCTGCTCTCAGCTTCCCTTTATTGCCCTACTTTGTTTTTTGCTTCTTCTTTCGGATAAAAGCTGTAAATGCAAGAGGGTTTTAACTTCACCATTGTAGTGGCATGAAATGCTTTCAGACCACTAAACTATTTTTTTCTTAGTAAAGAAGCTGTGGCCAAATGTAGTCTCTGGTTCTTTTTTTAGCTGCTACGTCTGAGGAAGCGTCTCCTTGGCACACCAGGCGGATGTCTGAGTAAAAAAAACTGATTGGTCCTGTCTGATAATGGGTAGCAGTGTAGTCATATCCTCCAGAAAGATCAGATGTATTAATCATTTGCTCATATTACTAAAAAATAAAAAACATTTTCATGTATTTAATACTTTTTAACTGTTTTTGAGTCGATGCTTCAGAAAACCACTGAGGGAATTCTCTACTCGCTTTGCAACACTTAAATGTTTGCCCCTTTCCAGCTGAACCTCTGAACTGCCACAGATTCTTAAGTCTTGAATTTGCCTGGGCCTTTTTTAAAGCACTCTGCACAGAGAAGGCGACTTTACTTCCTTCTCCACTCATATCCTGCAGAGCTTTACAATCGCTTGCTGTCCTACAACCAAGCAACGTTTTATTAGTCGGTCTGTAAGCCCAACTATCAAGAGCGTGGTGTTTGGCGTGTATTTTTGTGTGTGTATGTGTGTATATATGTATATATGTATATATATACACACAAAAATTGAAGAAAAAAACAATCATGCAAAACATGCAAAGTTACAATGAAAACATTTTTTTTTTTTTACTACAAAGTTTAATGTCCCTTTGGGATTAATTGAATATTTTTTTTATTTAAATGCAGACTTCTGAGGAAATTTGACTGTTTTTTATTTGGGGGGGATCAGAGTTAGGGGGATGGACATGCATTGAAACTACACGTTGTTCTTCACATTTTAATCTAATTAAATCTGTAGTTTTAAACATGTGATAGTAGCTTAAAGAGGCGCGTCCTGCAGGATAGATGGTTAGAATTCACCTGCCTTTTCTCTGTGGCTTTAGGTGGTTTCATGGGAAAATCACTCGTGAGCAGGCGGAGCGGCTCCTCTACCCACCAGAGACGGGTCTGTTCCTGGTGAGAGAGAGCACCAACTACCCCGGTGATTACACCTTGTGTGTCAGCTGCGACGGCAAGGTGGAGCACTACCGCATCATCTACCACAACGGCAAACTCACCATCGACGAGGAGGAGTACTTCGAGAATCTCATGCAGTTGGTTGAGGTGAGAGTTAAACTCTGGTTTTATTCCTTCGATATATTTTTGACCAGGAAATTATTTACATCCCTTTGATTTTACACCATCAGATGGATAAAATACGTTTTTGTTACGCAGAATGTGCATGAAAATCAAATTCTGATGGTTAATAGACGAAGATACCAGCGAACAATATTAAGTATAATGCTAACTTGCTGCCAATATTAGCAATATAGTTGCATTGAAACCCTGATACACTTTGCAAACCTCGTCTCGGTACAAAAGTATGGCTATTCGGGTTTTATGCTTTTTTGCTGGGTTTTCGTTGCATAAATCCAAAAAAAGACGGACACTCTGCATCCAGCTTTCCCTGAATATGAAGACTGAAGAACCGTTCAGAGAGCCGTTTGATCCTCTTCCTTCCTGCCCCGTATCTGAAGGCAGGTTCAGAGGAAGGACAGAGAGGAGGGGGCGGGAGAAAGCGAGGCCTTTCATCCTCTCAGATAAACAGAGAGCGATTGGCGGCTATCACACTGCTAATTGGGCATCATCTTTTCACCCCATGAGGCTTTGGAAGTGGATGGTAGGAATTTGCCAGCTGGCAGGGAGATGGTCTCCTTTCCCGGTGCATTATGGTTATCAGACATCTCGTTCACACCCTCCAGGCTCTGCTTCCTGTCTCCATCGTCCCCTCTTTGGACACCTGGAATGTTGCCTTCTGTCCTCCTCTTTGTTATCCATCTCTCTCTCTCTCTCCCCCCCCTCCCTGCTGTCTCATATTCCCTGCTCTCCTTCGTTTTCCCCTTCTGCCGGTCTCTCCATATCTTTATCCGGAAGACTGTCTGCATTCCCCTGTAAATAGCCTTAGATGGGATTCCTCACATTCTTTGCTGTTTTTCTGCTCTTGTCACTGGTGGCAGCCGTTCTCATAAGGCTTATGCCCTCTATTTATACCTAAACACACGGTTTGCTGACAGCTTGTCCGTTATGGCCCCCATAGCAATGCTGTGATGTTTAGCAACAGAAACAATGGTGTGAATGGAGGAAAAAAGAGCTTTTTATGCACTTGTTGTGTGTTTGTGCACCATAATCACAGCCTTCAGTGTAAATTACACACAGGAAAGTCTACATTTAGCAACGATGACAGTTAAAAAAAATTATGTTGGGCTTTTTGTTTTTGTTTTTTCTCTTTTTTAAACTGCAACATGTTACCCAAACAAAACCAGGCTCTTTTTATTGCTTTAATTTAAAAAAAGAACACCAAATATTTGAAGAATAGATGCATTTTGAATGTAACCCCAAAATCCATGGACATGTTTGTGTGTTGATTCATTTGCAAGCATGAGAGCTGCTAATTCAGACACATTTCCTGTGCCTTGCTCTCCCTCTGGTGGTGGTGATGGTGAATTTGCAGTCTGTGGTTGAAGTTTTTTTTTAAATTATTATTATCAAGCAAATTTGTTACAAACAAAATTGATACAATAGTCTTTACATCATAATTATTGAATATGCATATAGAAAATAAAGCAATTAATAAAGGAAGCACATAAAAACACTTGATGGGGCTTGTTATATATGATAACAAAATGCATACGATTAGGGAGCGCTCAGTCAAAGTAAAACTGTTTTTAAGAAAAAGGTTAGCTTGTATGCATTTTTAGATTTAATGAAATCTTAAAGTCCATCTGGATTGATGGAGAACAAAATTGACTTCCAGTTTTTGTTCCTTATAGTTGCATGAACTTTATTTCCAGTCTTTTCTAATTTGAGGACTCCATGTGTCCTGACCTGTCTCCTGCTAAATTGCACCTCCTTTCTGCCTGGTCGACAGAAAGCTGGATGTTATTAAAGCCGCATGAGGCTGTAGGTTTAAGTGACCTCTGTCACACCTAGCAGTGTTGGGCAAGCTACTTGTCCAGTGTAGTGAGCTAAGCTATCAGTTACTCAACAATAAATTAAGCTTCACTACACCAAAGCTACCACCTAAAGAATTATAACAAGCTAAGTTACACTAATGTGTTAAAAGTAGCTTAACTACATCAGAAGCTACTTAACGTTGTACCAACCCAATATCAATTCAAAATGAGTCTGTTACACAAGTTTAAACAT